TCTATAAATGCTGCAGCTAAAGGACCATAAGATATATAATATTGGCAGGCAGAATTGTCTCTGTTTTGGTTCTCATAATAATAGGTGATAAAAAAATCATTTTCTCCATGTAGCAAGACAACTATTATTATCCTTAAACTAAATATACACTTTTTTACAACCACTCATTACAGAATCAGCTCAGAGAGAGGGAGACACAACCATTTGAAGAAGAAAGGATGCTACGGCCAATTGAAACAATAAATTTAGTGAACTTCTAAACTTAGGATTCTCTGTATTCTACTTAAGGTATAAGTCTGGACTAGGATGGTGTTCTACAGCAGATGTGTAGATACAAATCCACACATCTGTGCATCCCTGCATTCTACAATTCCTAATAAAGTTAAAAACAAAACAAAAAAGTAGTTCTTAATGAAAATGACTTCTAAACCCTGTTACATGTGTATGAGCAAAAGGAAGCAGAGGAAGTTGATTGATTTTGTTGCAGTGGCTGTTATTATTTTGCAGCAAAAAGGTGGGCGAAGCTGTAGTTTTAACTGACATGGTTTATAAAAACACTCATCATAAACTAGTTACTTCTTCCATCCTTAGGTCCCGATTTAAACTGAGCTAATGTTTCCTTACAAGAAACAAATTCTCATTTTAAGGTGGTCTATGACGAAGACTGTATTTTTCTTCCATTGGAAGTATAGATATTAATATTTAAACAAATTACTATGAGAGCTATAACTACAGAACACTCAATGCATTAACTGTAATTATTCATTTTAATATGCTGTGTTTAGTCCCTTGTATTTGCATGCTTTGTATAACTCATACATAAACCCAAATAATCCTGATGATATTTGCCCATTTCTGCAAATTCCCATTGCGAAATTCCTTTGAGATCATGATAGGAAGTGATGCTAAACAAAACAAATACCAGTAGCATGAAAGCTAGTTCATGAGCATAAGACAATTGGAAATTTCTGAAGGAATGCCACTGTAAGTGTATGAAACACTTTGCTTACAGATAGAGGAATATCTAATTGGAAATTTGGGTTCAGGTGAAGTAAAGCATAGACCATCAGTGTGTTTTATGGTTCATAGAAGTTTAAAAGAAGTTGGCATATATGGAGCACGAAGGTAATAAAATCATATTTTTTTGTGCTGTTTAACACAATTTTAAGCAAAGTGGAAGGGAAAATGGTTTTATAAACAGATGACTAACTTATTCTACTTTGAATGACTTAAAAAGCAACGAAAGAAAAAAAAATTCTTCTGGCAAATGTTTCAATTGATTATTTAAAGCTGTTCAACCTGTTTTCCTGACAGCAAGACACAAGACATAATGAAGTGTGGTTTTCATTCAACATGCTATGAAATCTCAGATGTGATTTGATTATGTTTTAACAACAATAAAATTAAACCACCAAATTTATAGCACCTTCATTTGAAAATCCTTTTACATAACATCCCTGTTACGTGAGGGCAAATCATGCATGAAACAACAGGTTTACTGTGATAAATATATTTATTTGCCAAGGATTCATTATTGAATATGAATTTTACAGGACATTTGCAAATCTGTTGCTGTTTTGCACCATACTTCACTGTTGAAGTTGCTTTGTGTTTGTATTCATAACTAATGAATACACATGCTATAATTAAGAGATATACAGGACAGTTTGGCTAAGCAGGTTGTTACACCAAGAAGAATAGATAAAGAACTTACCCTTGTCCTGAGCTCACTGGAAAACTCCAAAAGGAGGATCTCCAGAAAGAGATCCTTCCCAACTGGTAGTCAGTCAACTCTTAAATGGGTCTAGAAGAGGTGCAGCCAGGCTCCACCCCTTCCGGCAGCACAGCTGAATTGCCTTCACCTGTGCTCCCAGGGCTGAGCTCACTTCAGGTGATCAATCAGAGGTTCAGGCCATGATTTCAGCAGTTCCCATACAGTGACAAAGCAGCTAATAAATTTATAGTAAGCTAAGCAGGTATGTTTTTGAGTGTGCAGTATCTTCTATAATCATCTATTTAAGTGAGAAAGTAATGTTCAGGTTTTCAGTAGATCAGAACATAAGAGTGTTTATCGTCACTTTTTTTTATTAGTATCAATGTTATCATTGTGCATTTTATAAGGACATTTGAGGAAATTTTTAAAAACACAGTAGGACGTCAACATGATTAATTTGACATTCAGATTCCTTTTACATGGTAGTTATATTAAAAATTAGGCTCATTTTAGCCTATGTGTTGGTGTTTGTTTTTCCTCATTTGTCATTACAACAAATGACAACTGTAAAACATAAGTTACAGGAATTTCTTGCTATGCTGGCATTTCAAGGGTGATAGCAAAGTAAACAGCCATATTAGTTTTTCTGTTATGTGCATATGTTTTATGTAAGGACTCAGATGTGAAAAGTCTGTTTGCTTGCTTTTTTGCGGGTGAAGTGGGTTGTTTGCCTGCAGATTCCCAGGTAGCTAAATGAACTCACTGATGCTGTGAATGAGAATATGCTTTTTGGTATAACTTGGTCCCAACAGGTATGACAGGTCCCAAGGTCTCCAAGACAAAGCATTGGTTTTCAGTAGCAGTCATGTATTCCTGTTACAGTGAAAAAGTTGTGCTCAGCCAAGTTTAGCTGGTAGCGTCATGAGAATTTTAGCAACAGTGAGCTCAATGATTTATCACAATTCTGCTTATGAACTATGCACATCAGTGATTTATTTTCATAAAATGCTGGTGACAGCCTACACTACACATCACAATGTTGTTAACTCCAGCGAACATACAAGGATAATATGTTCTCATCATTTATTGACAGTGGGTCTTATAATTACTAATTATGCATATGACTGTTTAATAGAACGCAACAGTCTGTATGCAATGAAGAATGATTATGGAAGTATAATTCAAATTCCTATCAAGAAAAATCTTAGTGAGGAGAGAGATGAAATTTCCTGACACTAAGAAATCTAAACTTGCATTAACACTTTTTCATAAAAGCCACAGAAAGAAAATGAAAAAATATCTAGATCTATAGTTTCAACCTTTCTGTTGTGTTCTGGAGACACCTGGCATTTGTCTTCAGTGCCATAGGTACCATCCTGTATATATGTATATAGAAAGACATACTCAAGTACATACTCTGTACGCTTTTTTGCAGTGTAAAAGGTAATGTTAGAACGTTGCTTTATTTTGTTTATTTTTTACATTGATTATGTTGAAATAATCATTAGAAATTAATGGTTAAAGATAATTTTTAAAATCGGGATTGTAATCACCGCAAGGGATAAAATCATAGAAGCACAGAATCATGGAATCCTTAGAGTTGGAAGGGACCTTTGAAGGTCTTGCTTCAAAGTCTCCAGGGACGGGGCATCCACCAAATCACAAGACAACCTGTTACAGTACGTCACTAACTACACTGTAAAAAACGTTTTCCTTATATTTAACCTCTTTATACCTCTTTATTTCTTTATATTTAAAGAAATTGTTCCTCTCTGAGTTTATATGTAAAATGTAACTTTGTAAAAATGTAACTTTGTGAGTTGGAATTCAGTGTTTTTCTTATTGGTTTGTAAAATATAGTGAAAAAGGAGCTCATAAACAAAAGAAATCTTACTTGAAATTCATTTATTCTGACACTAGATTGACCAAGCCATGTCAGAAATATTCCTTACTGACGCGATTTTGAAATGTATCTGCCATTTATATTTGCATTAATGTATCTTTCAAGAGTATTCCAATACATAAAACTGTTATATGAGAACTTGATCTTGAATCTTAAACATGTAGAAACATCTGGAAAAAATTGTTCATTAATTGTCCAGGTTTATCTTTTTGCCATGACATTTATTCCTTTTTCATAAGAGATGTCATATGAACATTCTGAAATTTTGTTTTTCTTTTTTATTTCTGATATTACATGTTCTATTTAATTTTAGAGACTGTTTTGCATCACACTGCAGCTTATTTTGGCAAAGTACATTTGCTAAGGTGATAGCACCTTTTTCTAGGTGAAGATCTGTTACTTTGAACAGGTGCTATAATCCGGAATTTTCTTTTATGAGAATATTTGCCATTTGCTTGTTGATACCACGTAAGCTACCTCCAAAAAAATGACCAGAACACTCCTCTCTTTTACTGTTCATAAATGCCAACTAAACATGGTAAGCAAGATGCTTTTCTACTAGCTCCTAGAGAAAACTGAAACGTACTTCAGTTCTTCTGTTTGTTTGTTTGCTTTCTTTTTTTTTTTTTTTTTTTTTTTTTTTTTGGTTATGGTTTGTTGTTGTGGTTTGAAAAAAGAAAGAGAATGAATGGATCCCTGTACTTCATTTCTGGTACACACACACACACACATATGTATACACACTGTCAGTGTAGGGAGCATAGTGATCTTCTAAAGTTCAGGATTTTGGTAGACATTTGCTGGATTTACAATGAATTTATGATAATGTCTTCATTTTCCCCTGACTAAACTCACATCTCAGTTACAAGATTATCTGCATATTCAGCTTCCACAAAAGTTTTCTTCTCTTCTTCGTTTTCTTTCCTTTTTCTTGCAAATACGTAGCTTTAGATAAAAGCAATTATCATAAGCATAATATAGCTGCAGCAGACGCTAGTGTGTGTGGATCTGTTGACTATAATTAAATTTATTAATCAAAATAGTTTCCTTTTGAGCTTGGTCACATAAATGATTAAAATATATTTCTCATTAGAGAAATGTAGAACATGGCTTTTTGGTGGGTATGGTAAGAGATAACGTATATTTAAAAACACTTATACTTGACAGAATGGTCAGTTCAGTTGTTTCAAGATTTGCATTTATCCTGATAATGCCATTTTTATTTTAATAGCTACTTCAATAATGCTTCCTGGTTTTCACACTGAAGTTATTTTGTTTCTGAAATAGAGCTCATTAGACTTTGCATACAGAGACTGGAAGAGGCACACTAGCCACTTATAAATAATAAATGTAAAATGTTTCTGTGTTTTCTGTTCTTTCTAGGCTCTGGTCTCAATGATGGGCAATGGCATGAAGTTCAATTTCTAGCTAAAGAAAATTTTGCAGTTCTCACCATTGATGGAGATGAAGCTTCTGCTGTTCGAACAAACAGCCCTCTACAAGTTAAAACTGGAGAGAAATATTTATTTGGAGGTAAAAATAATCATAAAAAACATCTGCTTAAAATGCTGTTGATCTGTGTGAGATGGAACTCAGACTGTAGTTCAGTCAGTTAATATTTGGATGTTCTGAAATGACTGAGTGTTGTTTGTCAGAAATGTGTGGTAGAATTTTACTTCAAAGGATCTACCTACACCTTGCTCTTGAAAAAGAAAAAGAAGAAAAAAATATTGTACAAGGGATGATCCAACTTTAAATCTCTGAATCTCCGTATCTTCCCAGGATATTTCATCCTCTGAATGGGAACCTTTCTAATATTAGTAGTCTAATTAAATGGCACTAAGAGAAAGAAGATTCTTTCTTTTCAGTTTTGGAAACCTGAAGACAGAAAATATCACTGATTTTAGCCTTTTGTTGTTCCGTTTTTGGTTGGGTTTTTTTTTAAGAGCTGTAATTATTATGAGTAATTGAGAGCTTTCATAAATTAAAACCATGTCTTGTTCAGTATTTTGGGCTCCATATACCACATATATTGCTGATTATGGTCAGAATGTTTTTCAAAGTGAGATAGGAACTTCAAACCTTTGCAAAACCTGACTGTCATAAAATGAAGTGTTTTTATTAGTCTCATTAGGAGTAAGTTGAGATAGATAATATGCCAACTGTTTTTTTGTTTTTTGGGGTTTTTTTTTGTCCTGCAAATGTGCAAAAGTGATTACAGAAGAGGTATCTCTTGAATTCAAAGGATGATCGATTTTGTTTTCAGAAACTGCAAAATCACCATTTCTATAAATCTTTGAAAACATATTCACTTCTCATCTAAATTTTCCTGTTTTTTTCTTGCGTGCAAATATCATGTTCTCCAAGCTTTCCTTTTCAGTGACCTGGTATTAAAATATCTAGTACAAAGTATACACAGTATTGTTGTCTTTGCTGAACAATAGTTTAGAGTCTCAGCACTGCATTACAATACAGTTACAAGTGTGTGACAGAGAATTTAAAGAAAAGAGTAATTACAATGAAATGAGTATTGCCTTAAAGTGTAAGGCAGTCACTACATGTACTTCTTTCTGTGAAAAGAAACATGGCTTTCTCTACAAGAGAAATACCACGGATATAAATGTGAATTCTGCAGACAATAATTGTTTTTATAAAAAACTACCATTTTCATACCTTCTTGTCAAAACTTTTCACTGGCAGTATTCCATAATACTAGCTTTATAATAAAACAGTCCATTTATCAAAATTTGTTCCTAAATCTGTTCTGGTTTTTCTTCAGTTTGCTTTTATTTCAACAGAGACACTTGTTGTAAAAGTCCTACCTTGGTAGTCAACAATATGTACCATGATTAACGTTTGAAAGAAAAAAAAAAAAAAAAAAAAAAGAAATCAGAATCTTGTGATTTCTGCCCACAAAACTAATTTTGGAACTTTTCTAGTTTTAAGACAGACTAATAAATTACACAAGGGTTTCTTCATTTTCTATTAGAATCATTTTCTGTACTTATGCAGTTCTTTTTCAACTCCTTTGTGCCTTTTCTGTACTCTTACAAATTACTGAGAATCTACCAAGGGATAGACAGCAAGACTCATAGAGAGCCTGTTTTTATTCAAACTAGGGGAAAATATGCTAAGGACCGTATATTTCTCTAAATTTAATTTGAGAGAGTTAGTGTTAATAGCTTACTTCCTTTCTGTATGAATTTCTCCTCGCTGTTTTTATTTACCTTCTCTTTCTTGACTTGGATTTGGATTTTTGGAAAGAAGTGAGCTACCTACTAACCTCCAGAGAATGATGCTTCTTTGTTGTTTCCAATTGTATGCATAAACCAAAAAGGATGAGCAGAGAAAGTGAAACACAGAGTGAAAATGAGTTGATTAGCCTAATTTACATTGCTGGAGATTAGTGCTAGAGATAAGGGTTGTGAGACACCTTAAGCTTGCACCCAACCACCAAATAGCCTAGGGCCCAGAGGAAATACCTGATTAGTGACATAAATCAAAATTATGTCTATTTTATAGCATTTAACTGTATCTCCTTTCCCTCGCCTTTTTACTGTCTTAAAGATGAGGAAGTTTTTTCATACGAGTGGTAAAACTTCAGCAAGAACAAAGGTATGCAGTGAGCATTTGCCAATCCATTATGCTGCTTTTTCTGACAAGCAAAGATGAATGGACTATGTAGTAAGTTTCCTATGAGATGGCAGCCTGTGGCACGTAGTAAATCCTTTCTGTACAGCTGTACAAAATGTATTCTGTATATGCTCTTTTTCCTGGAGTGGAGTTATTTTTTTCTGAAATTTGGGTTGGTCTAAAATCTTACCAAGGAGCTGGAATGAAGAGAGAGAAAAGGGAAGTAAAATAAAGAGGACAAAGAACCTTCTTCTGTTTCATGTAAGGCTATCCTATGTGCGTATCTAGCTTTCTTTAAATCTGTTATCTTCAACCAGAGTATATGAATGTGTGTTTAATTTTGTCATGGAAAGGGGGAAAAAAAGAGCATTAGCTATTCTGTGGCCTGGCCAGCCCTGGTTCTCTGACTAATGAAGCAAGACACTTGTGGGCCATGCAGTGTGGGAGAGGAGGAAGGGTAGGGAGATAGCAGATGGGTCTGAAAAACAAACAAAACAACAACAATGGTAATGATCTGAGGAGGAACAGTAATTTACTAAATCCAACAAAATGAGACAGTGCATGGTCAATAAGTATACAGATGTTAGGCTAGTAAGATTATCACATTGGAAAAGATAATCAGAGATAAATGGAAGGTGCTCACTGGTGCTGTAGGCTCACAAGAAACTTTATGAGGTGCAATCACCAGAGAGAGATCCTTCCTCAGTGGCAGCCAGCCCTTAAATGAGGTCTAAGAGATGTGGAGCCTGGCTCCACCCCTTCTGGTCACACAGGTCAATTGCCTTCACCTGTGCTCCCAAGGCTGACTCAGTACTCGCCTCAGGTGATTAATCAGAGGTTCAGGCCGTGATTCAACAGTTCCAATACAGAAGCATCCAAAGCTAAGATCTTGCACTAGACTTGAGGGGAACCATGTGCTTTCCCCACAGCAAACGGAGAGTCAGTGAGAGGCAGAGCAGCTGGTGTCCTGCCCGGAGCTCCACCTTGCTTCCTCTGCATGTGAAGTCCTCTGGGAATGTTGCTTCTCCCCTCCCCTCCAAGAACCCAAAATGCCCAGAAAAGGCAGTCCATGGAACCAGAACATTAACTCTTTAACTCCCACTGTTTTACATGATGTCATGATGTGGAATACTGACAAAAATCACAAAACCACAACAAATTTTTATCAAGTTGTCCATTTTTTATCATTATGAGCATCCAACAATAATAGCTGTTATAGTTATGGTCAAACTACCTAGATAGTGTACTTGGGATTCCAGAAGCACTTGTACTGTCTCTATAAAAAAGTATTCAGACAACAAGGATTGGAATGGGCTGTATTTTTTAACAACCCTCTCGCTTTGGATTGTTAAATCCAGCATATTTATGAGTCAGTTAATCAGCAAAGAACATAAATACGCAGAATTTATAAACCTGAGTAAAACAAGCAAGTGATTTTGTTTACTAGTTCTTTCTCTTTTCTGTTTGAATCTTCATTTGTCTTCACTGTTTGGTTTAGGTAAATAAATAAAAAAATAAGCACAGGTTTGTGTAGACATCTAAGCTTCTCTCTGCTACTTGTTATGACACAATTCTTTATCATCTCATCTGCTTTCTCCCCCAGTCAACACTAAAACACAAAATCATACTCCTTTTGTGCACTGAAGAGAGGCTAATCAACATTGCCACTTAATTCTTAGTTTCCTGTCTTACATCATTCATAGTTTTGTTTCTTTCATTGAGATCCTTTTAATGCTATACTAATGAGAACAAATAAAATACTGCTGACATTCAGTGATTAAGTACTGTCAATAACTTTGTTGGTGATGTTCTAATATGTCAGTCCATCAACATATTACTTGCAACAATGCAAGTAGAAATGCTGGAAGTAAATCAATCTCCCAGAGAAAGATATGTGCATGCAGGAAACTGATACTTCATGAAAACACATTTAAAAAATCAAATGTATGATAATATGAGTTTAGGAAGGGATATATGGAAGCACAAGTCCTGCTGGAATAACTTCAGCTTTTGAGCCCTTAGAGATGGGAAATGTCTGCCCACTTAAAAATGAATGAATGCAATTTTCAGATGTTCTCTCCTTATTTTATATAGTATAATTCTCCTTCTAAGCTGAAGTACATCTCTGGAAGTTTCTCAGAAAAATAAAATGAAGGAACTGCATTCTTTTTGCTATATTTTACTCTTCCCCCTCTGTCCCGATTTCAGCTGAGACAGTTTTAACAGCACACAGATTTTTTGGTTATTGCTGACTGATGGGAGTGTATCCAGTGCAGGGCTAGGAAGAGCCACTGCCTTTATGGTGCAGCAGCAGGGGACAGGGCAGAGCGAGGAGAGCAGACCTGAATTAAGTAAGCAGTTATTCCACACCATGTGACGTAATGAGAAGGCCACAGATTGACTGGCATCTGCTCAAGGATTCGCAGGCATTGGTCACTGAGACCTTTTGTTGGTAGTGGAGCATCGGTCAGCAGGCAGTTGTGTCGCTAGCAAGGCATCGATTGGTGGATGGTGAGTGATTGCATTGTGGAAATATGTATTTTTATCATCATCGTGGCATTAGAAATCACAAATATGTTTGTCCAAGTTGAATTTTGATCTGAACCGTATGTGCATATTCTTTCCCAGTGTTTGAAAATAATCATGCTCCTAAATAATAGTGAATATTAGTAATGTAATAGCACATCTATGATTTAATCTGTTTTCTAGGATATCAGGGTTCTGTTTCCAGATGTATAAAATGGGTTTATTGTCCATAAACACAATTCAGCATATCCAAGATATCTGCACACACACACAAAAAAAAAAAAAAAAAACAAAATACCCAAATTCCTAGTATCATCAATAGGGCATATACTTTTCAAAGCCTTTTCGTATTTTGGAAAGTGACTTACTGATCT